TCATTATACCCCTAAAATGATTTATCATTTCTGAAAAAAAAAAATTTTTTAGCCTTCTGTTACAGTTTCCAACACATTACTCATTTGTCAATTATCTGAATCATTTTTTTCTTGTTTTTGCTTGTTTTTGTTTTGTAATTAGTACAGTAATAGTGATTTAGTATTTGGTATAAAAGTCAAAATACTACTTTGTTTACAATTTGCTACTTTTTTGACAAGAAATTTTATATTCAGCGCGAATTTCACCAGGTGATAAGCATTTAACAAAATTGCTCTAAAACCATTATTTAAATATTTCCCTTTTCTAATGAAGGATTTTTTTTTTGTTTCTGACGAGGCAAAGTGTGCCTTTAATCTTCTTAGTATCATTTTCAATATACACTTTTTTTAAAGAGGCTATCAGCTTTTCTACAGGTTAATAAATATGCTATTTTTTGATAAATTGTTTCATATAATTGTCAAGTCAAAAGAATTAAGGTAGAAAATGAAAATTGCCGTTGATAAAATACATTAACAATAAGGAAAGCTGCCAATACCTCTAATCTACAGTCTGCTCTCTATATGTAAATTAGTAAAGCAGAAGATTTGTTTCCTGATCTTCTATTTTTAGAAAGGAACGTCACTCCCATGCTATAAATAGTTCTTGGATGCTTTTATGAAGAGGCTCACAGTGATATGATGCATTTTTCCAAGATAAAATTACTAAAATACTTATTTTGAAACAACATTGAATTATTTTCCTAACAATAAATAAAACCTTAAGGCTGCTTTATTAAGATGTATTTACCTCCAATACAATTTAAATACCATGTGAATTTAGAATAATTATAATGCTGCATTGTATACTCATTTAATACTGTACACCCGGTAATAATATTATAAGTGAATATTTTCACGTGCGAAAATTTAGCTAGTTTAAAATGCCAGACGTTTAACATGAGGAAATATTAGCAAATCATGCAAGCGTAGAATTTAATGACAGGTTAATTGTTATTACACTAGAGGAAATTTTAGTGATTTTTGTCAATTAGCGAAATTTGCCAATATTTCTGTGTCGCTAACTTAACCACTTATACAGTGTGTTATTAAATTAACAAAAGGTATGTTCTGTTCTGTGCAATATAAAAATGTCAAAGTTCACTCAGAGCAAAAACTGAGCAACATAATCTGTAAGACTGAAGACCCTTCCCTTGTTAATTTCTACGAAAAGTAGAAAATCACATGTTTCATAGAAGGAATCTAAAATATTCATAATAATTCTGAATGGCAGAAAATGAAATCAATAAGATTTACACATCAAAAGCTTCAATATATATGCCCCCCCTTGTGGATGTGGGGTTGCCTTTAAGGACTGAGGCAACAGTTTATCTCTGCATGATCATAAGAGGTGACTAAATGGATTTGAATTACTGAAGTCTTTATAACTCTTAGCTCCAGCAGGTGAGGTGGTTTTGATCCCTGGTTCTGCCTTGTAAAACAATTGAAATACAGTTATGGTTCACAGTGGGCAATTAAAGATAGTTGTGGTTCTTATATGTTGTATTTCCTTTCAATGTGGTTGGCCATTGATGAAGTTTTAGTGAATTACTATGCAATAAGTCCAGAAAGACAAGGAAAAGGAACAAAGGACAATAACTCTATAATACTGAAAATGGAGTTATGGTTATTGTACACTGCACTTCCTCTCATTGCACTTGACCATTGTATGAAGTTGTATTGAATTCCAACTACAAGTTTTCAAGTTATGCACAAGATCAAAAAGTAACAAAGGGCAATAACTGTAATTAGTCCAAATAGAATTATGGTTCTTGTGCACTGCACTTCATCTCACTGCCCTTGACCATTGTATAAAGTTTCATTGAATTCCCACCATTAATTTTCAAGTTATGCACTGGACAATAAAAAGTAACAAAGGGCAAAAACTTTTAAATGAGTCCAGAAAGAGTTATGATTTCTGTACACTGTGCTTCCTCTCAATATACTTGACCATTGTATGAAATAGAATTGAATTCAAACTAGTAGTTTTCACGTTATGCTCTCGACAAGAAAAAAGCAAAGGAAAAGTAACAAAGGGCAATAACTCTATAATTACTCTGGACAGAGTTATAGTTCTTGTGCACTGCACTTCCTCTTATGGTGCTTCATTGTATGAAGTTTTTTTGAATTCCAACCAGTACGTTTTAAGTTATGCTCTAGACAAGGAAAAGTATCAAAAGGTTATAACTCTGTAGTTTGTCAAAATGGTGTAATGGTTCTTGTGCACTGCACTTTCTCTTAATGTGCTTGACAACTGTATAAAGTTGTATTGAATTTCAACCAGTAGTTTTCAAGTAATGGTCCGGAAAAGGAAAAGTAACAAAGGGCGATAACTCTGTAATTAATCAAGATTGAGTTATGGTTCTTGTGCACTGCGCTTCCTCTAAATGTGCTTGACCATTGTATGAAATTATATTGAATTCCAACCATTTGTCTTCAAGTTATGCATAAGACAAAAAAGGCAATGGATAAGTAACAAAGGGCAATAACTCTGTAATTAGTCAAGATGAAGTTATGGTTCTTGTGCACTGCATTTCCCCTTATTGTGCTTGACAATTGACATTACGCCTCCTGTCAATCAAGCTGGCAGGGGTCTTACAGATAAGCCAGTTGGCGATCGTTATCAGTTTCACGCTAAAATGTCTGCAAAATCCGCCATTATCCTTAGACAAGCTATTTGTATAAGACAATGGTGCAGCAGTATTTTTATTGGAATTATTTTGATTATTTGTCATTTTAAAGCTATAAAGTCGGTATATCAAAGTTATCAACTATCCTGACATATTGACAGATGGAGTCAGTTAGTTCATTTTACAAAAAAATATCAGTAACTTTGTATATATGAAGATAATAAGTTATATAGCAGGTACAAAAGCAGAGACATATCTAGATGTTATCTACATCTCTGACGAAAGTTAAAATAGAGAAAGAATCTCTAAAGAACGTACAAAACGACAAAATTGAGAATGTTGCTGGCTCGGTTTGAATGAGCCTGTTCATGGACGGTAATGCAATGTGCAAGTAACCGTCCACGCCCCCTAGCACAGACTTAAGCAGAATTCAACATTTTCCATGACCTGGTAAAATTTGGAATCCGCAGATGTGATCATATAGCGGTTATCATGGAACCTACAATGTGACACGTTAGTGCCTTTCAATGAAAAGCGGCATATGGTCCCGAAGTAAAAAATGCGTTTGCCCTAAACGAAAAAACAGTGGGCCTAACTAGATAAAATGGAATTTTAAATGGGGATCAGAGGTTATGAAGCCTGGCTATACCACAATGCATTAAACAAAGAAAAAGTTTAAACAAATACTCTATTCCTTCCTTTATTACAATTATGTCTATTCATAATCACAAACATGTACTACATTATAAGGTCTGAATTTATGACATTTTTTGTTCCCTTATTACATGGTGTCAATACAATGCTGCAGTAGAAAAAAGTACTTGCAAATAAAATGAGAGAATATGCAATGAATATTTTATGTGAAATTATCCTACCTAAATATTTCTATGAAAGCTCAATGAATTAAGATTAAATATTGAGATATATCTGCTTCAATAACATCATACCTGATCACGGTTTTAATTTAAAACCGAGGTCTCACCCCGTCTGGTGTATGCGAAACTTATTTTGAAGTGGATAATATTGCGTTTTATCACAAAACATATGTAATGTATAAATATACATATAATCATATATCATACTACAAAGTTAAGCAAGGGCAATTTTCTCATTGAATTTTAATAATTTATGCATAAATGTATTATACATTGTATATAAGTGATTTCGCACATAAAACCCTAAAAACATGTTCCGCTACTTCAATTTTAACTATCTTTGAATTTGTAAACTAAAATGATATTTTGTCAGAAACATCTTCCTTGAAGTCAACGAGAAATATAACAAGATCTTTGCCAAACGTTTTATTCATAATTAATGCATGAATTCAGTTATTTGTTGCTTTTTTAAATACCATAATATATTGAACTATCCAAGAAAAGCATTAAAATTTTATATATATCAATTTGTATAAGGTAAATTCATTAGTCACTTTAGTGGCATAATAGTTTCCTGTAAACGTCGGTACCGTGTTTTGTCTAAGGTTCTTAATGACCGGGTCACGTGAATCAGTGGGCGGAGCAATCTCTTCTCTGGCGTAATGTCAATTGTATGAAGTTGTTTTGAATTCCAACCAGTAGTTTTCAAGTTATACTCCGGACAAAAGAAAGCAATGGAAAAGTAACAAAGGGCAATAACTCTGTAATTACTTTAGAAAGAGTTATAGTTCTTGTGCACTGCACTTCCCCTTATTGTGCTTGGCAATTGTATGAAGTTGTTTTGAATTCCAATCAGTAGTTTTCAAGTTATGCTCTGGACAAGGAAAAGAAACAAAGGGCAATAACTCTGTAATTAGTCAAGATAGAGTTATGGTTCTTGTGCACTGCACTTCCTCTCAATGTGCTTGACCATTGTATGAAATTATATTGAATTCCAATCATTAGTCTTCAAGTTATGGTCCGGACAAAAGAAAGCAATGGAAAAGAAACAAAGGGCAATAACTCTGTAATTACTCTAGATAGAGTTATGGTTCTTGTGCACTGCACTTCCCCTTATTGTACTTGACAATTGTATGAAGTTTTTTTCGAATTCCAACCAGTAGTTATGCTCCAGACAAGGAAAAGTAACAAAGGGCAATAACTCTGTAATTAGTCAAGATGGAGTTATGGTTCTTGTGCACCATTGTATAAAGTTATATTGACTTCCAACCATTAGTTTTGAAGTTATGCTCTGGACAAGGAAAATGCAACGGACCGCTGGACCGACCGACCGACCACCGCGTGACTCCTATATACCCCTCAAACTTCGTTTTTGGGGGTATAAATATAAAAAAAAAATTTCTCAAAGGGTATGGTATGGAGATTGTTCAAAATTAATTACAAAATGTATAAACCATACCTAGTAAAACAATAGCAGCAGGAAGTGCCGTCTTGATGACGTATATGATGGATACTCTTTGCCTTATTAAATCCAATAGTAGTAAAATACCAAGAAAGAGAGATAACTCTGCACGGAAGATCAGAATTGCTGCCCCTGATAGCCATATGAAGGATCTATGAAGTTGTTTTAGCCAGGATCTTACCGCAAATAAAACTGAAAAGAAGTGAAAAAAATACATTAACAAATACTGTAACAAAGTTCATGCACATATAAAGTTCTAAACATGTAAGAATGAATTAATGGAAATATATAAAGTTTTAAACTTATAAGAATGAGTTAATGGAAATATACTCTTAATTTTCTTCATGTATAATCAAACTTTTTTATCATAACACTGATAGCCCAAGCAAATTTGTTCACAAGATCTGCAAGATCTATCGGAATTTCATTTCGTCTGCTGTAACATTATTTTGCATTACATTATTTGCATTTTACATTTTTTCGCAAAATAATAAGACAATCCAAATTTAAAAACCAACAAAAATATCTTTTTGGCAACACCAACAAATTTCATGCCCACAAAATCTAGTGAATTTACAGTATAAAACTTATTGTAGACAGGTAAAATAAGTTAAGGATATCATGAAAATTAACTTACCTAGAACAAGGGCGAAAATATTTGGTAAAGTGCGCGAGGAGTAAAACAGGAAATGAAACTGTGAGGCAGTTATAATTAGCATAAATCTTGACGTCTGACGTCCAAACACACTCTTTACAGCATCTGCATACATCAACAGACCAACTAACACTGCATTTCCAAGACATAGTCTTACTGAAATATAAATCAATTGTTTTATCTATTTGTGAATATCATTATACTAATAAATTTTCATAATTCAATATAACATTAATATTAAGGTACATTAATATTACATTATCTGTTCTTAGATTTGCATATAAAAGGAATAACTTATTTCATTTTGTTACATCAAAAAATGCACATATTTTAATATATCATGATTATGATTTGCCAAAAGTCAGACATATTTTGTAAAGAAATTTGAGTTGAATTTCATTTCTGAGCATATTCCTTTTGGATATGCTTTTATTTCTTAATTGCTTTCATGTTGCAAAAGTCAAAGAGGTTGGGTTTGTTCAATTGTTTCTTACCAACAATTTGTTCAAATATTTTTGGAGCATTCATCAGCCACATCGCGCCAATGACTGGAGATGAAGAGATAGCTACAACAAGAGGTCCTAAAAATGTCCTTGGTACAACACCTGGATACTGAAGATGATCATACTGAAATGAAAAAATAGGTTGGTGAACCAGTAGTACTAGAAATACTTCTTGATGAACTAGCCACTGTGTATTATATAGTTTTAGATTGCTTAAACTGAACAACCACCAGTCTAGAGAGTAGCCAGACTGCATTTATGTATGGACAAGCCTGTCTCTAGCAAATCATCAATGTTAACATTCTTAAAGTCTCAGGTAAAGCTATGGAAATTAGATGAATCTGCTATTACTGTACATCAGGTTATTTTCGAGTACAGCTTATTTTGCAATTTTGGCAGTGACTGATTATAGCAATTTGTTTGTGCATGTTTCTTTTTTTTCACCTTATTCTGCCCATTTTTTTTGACAGAGATTATCATTGTTTTCACAGCTTAAACATTGTTTTCAATTTTACTATTGATGTATCACTTGTAAGTATGTATTCGGTATTTCACACTTATTATTATTATTTTTGTTATATTGAATTCTAAACAACCATGAATATCGAAAATTGGTATTTGATAAATTGATTTATATGTATCACAATGTAAAATAAAAATAAAACTAAATGTGTTGCACATGTAAATCAGAAAAGAAAGTTCAAGAAACTCAGGAAATCCCCATATTAAACTGAAGGAAAATATAACGCATCTATATTTCATGATAATTCACTGCACGTGAATAAAGCCAAAATTAGATATTCGCAAAAGAAACCTGATAAACTATGAGTATCTATAATAATTAATTAGTTACATAGATAGGCATCTCCCTTATAAGAAACAATTTTAATCATATATTTTTAATATTTATAATATACATATATATATAGTTTGTACTGAAAGAATGTATTAAAGCTACATATATAAATATATAATATAAATCAAAACTAGAGGATGCTTTTGTAAAAAAGCGCATGTCTCCCCCACTGCACTGTGACCTTGACCTTTGACCTACTGACCCCAAAAACAATAGGGATCATCTGCTCTATAAGACCAATCATCCTATGAAGTTTGAGGGCTGTAGGTCAAAAGGAACTCTAGTTATCATCCGGAAACGAGAAATTGACCAACGGTCACTGTGACCTTGACCTTTGACCTACTGACCCCAAAAACAATAGGGATCATCTGCTCAATAAGACCAATCATCCTATGAAGTTTGAGGGCTGTAGGTCAAAAGGAACTCTAGTTATCATCCGGAAACGAGAAATTGACCAACGGTCACTGTGACCTTGACCTTTGACCTACTGACCCAAAAACAATATGGATCATCTGCTCAATAAGACCAATCATCCTATGAAGTTTGAGGTCTGTAGGTCTAAAGGAACTCTAGTTATCATCCGGAAACGAGAAATTGACCAACGGTCAGTGTGACCTTGACCTTTGACCTACTGACCCCAAAAACAATAGGGATCATCAGCTCTATAAGACCAATCATCCTATGAAGTTTGAGGGCTGTAGGTCAAAAGGAACTCTAGTTATCATCCGGAAACGAGAAATTGACCAACGGTCACTGTGACCTTGACCTTTGACCTACTGAACCCAAAAACAATAGGGATCATCTGCTCTATAAGACCAATCATCCTATGAAGTTTGAGGGCTGTAGGTCTAAAGGAACTCTAGTTATCATCCGGAAACGAGAAATTGACCAACGGTCACTGTGACCTTGACCTTTGACCTACTGACCCCTAAAACAATAGGGATCATCAGCTCTATAAGACCAATCATCCTATGAAGTTTGAGGGCTGTAGGTCAAAAGGAACTCTAGTTATCATCCGGAAACGAGAAATTGACCAACGGTCACTGTGACCTTGACCTTTGACCTACTGACCCCAAAAACAATAGGGATCATCTGCTCAATAAGACCAATCATCCTATGAAGTTTGAGGGCTGTAGGTCAAAAGGAACTCTAGTTATCATCCGGAAACGAGAAATTGACCAACGGTCACTGTGACCTTGACCTTTGACCTACTGACCCCAAAAACAATAGGGATCATCAGCTCTATAAGACCAATCATCCTATGAAGTTTGAGGGTTGTAGGTCAAAAGGAACTCTAGTTATCGTCCGGAAACGAAGAATGGACGGACGGACGGACTGACGGACGGACTGACGGACGGACTGACGGACGGACAGGGCAAAAACAATCAGTCTCCCCCCGAGGTGGGGGAGACATAATAAATGATAAGCTCCAGGCAAAAAATTCATTATCAAGTATGCAGCCTTTGATATAGCACAACCATTTCATTTTTCAAACGCATTAATACCTTTATCACAATTTATATGACTGGTATGCTGGTAATTATTATGAAAGTTACTGGCTTAAAGTAAGATGTCACTTTCTGATTAGGAATTGTATCAAAGCAGGGAAATTGATTTTTTTCTTATCAGTTAACATATGGAGGGTTAGTGGGTTATACCTACATGTACATGTTATCTGTGCCCTAAATAAGGCACAGATGGGCAAACTTGAATATTTCTTAAATGCTGGATTGCACTAGATATGACCTTAAAGGGGTTTTTTGACATGACGGGACTGGAAATAATATTTTGAGATTATTAATCCATTTGATGAAGATCTATACAAATAACTTATGTGCAAAGTTTCATATCATTAGCTTACTCCGTTTTTCCAGAATAATTATTATAATAACGAAAAATGACCCAAAATTGAAAAGCGTTTAAACACTTTTTACTCAAATCGGACTGAGAATAGCACAGACATATCATTTCAATGTATTTCTTGTATATTTCTTAATTATCTTTTACATATATTTCTGTTTTAAGTGCTCATGTTAATCTATATAAAAAAACTAAAATTTTATGTTTTTAGTTCTATAAACCTGAGTTGAGTTCCTTTAACATGTAATGCATAACTTAACATCAATCTAACATAATAAGCAAGGATTTGCAACAAAGTTACCAATGCCCCCTGCCTACGGAATGTTTTTTACTGTCACTTTTACATGAAGCATAAAATTGTGCTATTTCAAAAGATTCAGGTATGGACCTTGACTTTCAGTGCAAAATCTTGAAATGCAGGTTTTGACAAATATCATTCAAAGACAATTTTCAAGTACATGTACATCTTAGTATTAAGATTTATACTGTCAATGTGTGCCTACCTGTGAGATGTTAGTGGAATAATGCAATATGTCATGTATGGCTTGTATATTGAACGATTCCTCAACTTTGGTGTACGGACAGACGAGCACATGCATTACTACCACACAGCACAACAGACATTCTGTCCAAGGCACTCCCATCTTTCCTGTATAAAAGAATGAAACTAATTGATTATCGTTATAGAATATTTCAACTCCTCAACACTGTGACCCCAATATCATTTTTTAACATATATCTAAACCTGAGGCTTTTTCTCGGCATATTAAAGGATATTTAATGAGTGTAAGTTCAATACTGAATTTATTGAATGAGTTAAATAAATTTATATTTTGCGAGCCTTTGGCGAGCATAATATTATTTTATTCAACAAGTTCAATAAATTCAGTAATGAACTTACACAAATTTAATATTCTTCTTATCACATACCAAAAATAAAGACCGTTTGAAGTGAAAAAGAAACATATAGAATAGCCTATAGAATAACGCTAACATTTAGCGAGTGTTTTTTGCATGCTTATAATGTTTATATAAAACAAATGACGTCAAATCAAAATATATGCACAGCTGTGCAACAAAATGTTTACGGAGTCGCAAAAGCAGCATGGGTATGTGATAAAAATCAATGTGAAAACTGCAAAATTTTATTCTATGAACTGTTATTACTATTAAAGCAGCATACCTCCAAATTTATGCTGATCTTCAAGAAAAATTTTAAAATGTATTAAAATGTAAAATATTGCAAAGTGAACAAAGGAAGTAATTTACACATTGCAAACTGCACTTAAAATGTACTAGAAATTACCAAAAACAGGTAAGATTGTACAAAATTAGCCGCAGTAGAAATGTGGGATTAATCAGTTATTTATTGCGTATAACATGTAAACTACATGCTTGTACTTCTTAAATAATTTTTCTTGAAACCTTTAATCTTTTAAATAGAACATTTTTCACAAGGTTGCTTTTCTTGAAGTGTTTTTGGCTCATGCAGCATTAAGATTAAGCAAAATATTATAATACAAATATAGGAACAGTATTGTTCTTGGGCCAAAAATAAAAATATGTTTGTTTCCCCTTCCCATCCCATTAAAATTAAGGTTTGGTAGGTAGGTAGGAAATTTTTTTTTATATGTGCTTAGTAATAAATAATCTGCATATATGTATAATGAACTATTAAAATTAATTTATTAAGTGCATGCATTACCATATTCACAACTGACATAATTATGCAACAATTTTTAACTATGCTAGCTGTCTAAAATATCAGATTAGATTGTACCTGTTGTACTCTGAAAGAAAAAAAATACTTTCATCCCCTAAGAACCTGAAAAAAATATTTTGGGTAGAGGCAAATTTTGGGGTAGGTAGGGAAGGGGAAACAAAGTAAATTTTATTTTAGGCCTTGTCTGTTAAATAGTTTAAATACTTTGGAATAAAAAAACTTCATGTATATGAAAAGTTAAACAGAGTGGTTAGACCAAATTGCTCTATGCAAAATCGTACCAAATGTTATGAAAAAATAAATTGATAACATTTTCTGAAAAGTAAATGTTTCTGTTCAAGAGTAGTACATGTATAGCCAATTATTTCTGGCAATGTTTACTTGAAAAACAAACATGATGTTTTACAGTGTTTGGGCTATGAATAGAAAAAAGTGTGGTTATGGTTGACTAAACCAACTCTCAGCATACTTTAAACAATATATTTTGACATTTAGCAAAAAGTGTTGAACTACATTATAATTATGAGATAATAATTCTTAAAGCTCAAAAAAATCTTGTTAAACCATACTGATAGTTAAAATGCCTATGGTATAAAAGTATCTTTATGATTTTCACATCAAATTGTTTTACTACATAATTTTCATGTATCACATTGAAAACCGAACTAGGAAATAAAAAAAGATGTTATCCAGAACTCGACAAATGTGTATTTTTCTAAGCTAATCGGGTACAAACAAAATTTTCAGTAACAGCTTCGAAAATAAGTGCATCAGGTTGATTTTTCTATTGTGACGGGTGATGCTCCGTGAAGCTATAACTGTAACAATTTGTACAGATTGTACACTGGATTAGTTGGGAAACACCCTAAAAATTCTTAATTCCAGAGTAAGTTTATTGATCTGGTTTGATCTATTGTGTTAAAGTGAGAATATACACAATGTAACATCATTCAAGCCCAATAGTCTTTAATAAAGATCTTTCAAATTTAAAACTTTTTAGATCAAGAAGGGCCAGCTAAAGTTAAACAATACTGAAATTTACATGGCGTCATTAGATGTTACAATATTACAGTAACTTTTTTTCCTATATTTTACAGTCAAATATTAAAAGGCTCAGTTTCTCCTAGCCTATAAAATAGTATATGTTCCCAAAAATGCTGTATTTTCCCCCGAAATACCCTGTGCACATACTTCACAAGAATCATGATTTAACAGCAGCTGACTTATATAATCTGGTTAACAAATATGATTGACTGAAACTTCTCTCTTCCACTAGGTTCATGCATGTCCTAGTGAAGGCAAAGGGCATTTGCAGAAGATTACAAGCTTTGGGAGTTAAGCTTCCAATGCATCTTATGACTCAGCTGCCGATGTCCTGACTAAAGCTGAAGGGAGTGGCTTTGCAGAGAAGGCAGGAATGACCAGAAAAGTGTGCTAGGTGTGTGTGAGCCCCTAGCACAGAGAGTTATGGCTTGAAGAGCAGGCCTTAGCTGGTATAATAGCCCTTTTCAGGGCTACCTCCCCCATTTCATATTGTCTCAGATTACAGTTCATTTAGGTTCTCAATGACATCAACCTACTTTTGGCTCAAAATTCATATTTTTGGTTTATACTACATGTTTATTGCATGAAGGTAAATTATCATCACTTTGTGCTTCAAAATTAATCCTTGAAGAGCATGACTGGTGACATGTCCAGAGCCCGTACTTGACAGTGATAGCTGCTTTTTGTGACTTAATGGGCAGATGGATCCTCGGCAGTCTCCTGGTTTAGACCCCTATGTATTTTTCAGGAGTAAAACTTGTATATATAATACACTAGAGAAAACGGAATGAACCTTATATATACTCCTGGTTTAGACCCTGGGGTCTAATCCAGGATATAGCCGGATCCTCATTAATGATTAATCATTAATCTCAGTCAGCCTGATTGACTGAAAGCTGTCCTAATAGAGAGCATTGCTATGTACAATGCATGTTAAATTGAATTGAAATTGAAAATTTGATAAAATGTGTGGCATATTCCAATCCAAGTTGTTGGAATTTAATTTCTGGATTTCCCCTTTTTCTGATTATTAGTGCTTTATTTCCCAGGTTCTTTTGAAAATTAAAAAAAAGTCACTGATAAAGGAAAACAGTTTCATGTAATGTATCATAGAGAAATTTGCAAACGTGACAGCTACATGTATAAGATACAATACAGTTACTACAGAAAATATGCTGAACATTTGATAATTTAATTTTGAAAGAAGATAAAGGTTGAATTTTTTCAAAATGTTGATAATCAACAGTATTTTAAGTCAGCTTGAGGTGCTTTCTGATAGATAACTTACTAAATTACTATAACAAAATCGCAATACATGCTGTTTTTAAAGTTTATATAAACTAAAAGAGTATTTTTGTCATGTTTTCAGAAACATCAACTTACCGATACATATGGCGTATGAAGAATAAAGGGGGACAACTATTGAGAGACTGATATTTTCTATCACTGCAGTGGAGAAAATCCTAGATAGTCGAATATTAATAAATTTAAAGTAACGTCGTTGCATAACAAGTGGGCCTGGCATAATAAGATTACAAAAATATGAGCACTTACTTATTTGTAATGGCAAAAAAGAAAAATTTGAACATTCATTCTTTCCTAAGACTATTAGTGATTGGAATAACTTAGACAGTGCCGTTGTGTGCGCAGAGACATTACAGAGCTTTAAAACAGCTCTCCAACAGTGCTACTAAATTACTTAGCTCCTCTCTCCCGCTGCGTACATACCGGAAGGTTCTACAGTGTACACATTCAGATTCAGAAAGAAACAAAAAACAAAACAAAAAACAAAAAAAAACAAAAAAAAAACGACAGTGCACCAAGTAAATTACATCTATGTCCCTAGCTGGCAGTATCTGGTTGGTTTAAACATATTTATAAGATGGATTGCGAAACAAATTCTTGCAACTTATATTAATCACTTTCGAGTCCGCTTCCTGGAACCAACCAGTCATATAGAGAAACATGGGCTCGAACCCATGTTGTCTGGGTTGAGAGGCAGGCACCTAAACCACTAGGCCACCGCTCCCCTTACAACAGAATCTGAATGGTCATGAAGTGTTGTTTTTTGTTGTTGTTGTTTAATCAAAAAAAAAAAAAAAAAAAAATGCAAAATCCTATGATGTTATTGGGTTATAACTTTTGATTGATATCTTTGCGAGGTACAAACAAATATTTAGAAAATGATATAAAAAGCACACATATAGCACAATGGAATCAGAGTCTTTCAAATAGAATATTATATATACTTTTAATATAAAAACATTGACATACTTAATATGCAGTAAGTATGGTGCGGTTATGCCAAATATAACTTTGAATTCGTCTTAACCGAAATTATACTTGAAATATATATTAATCCAGCTTTAGATCTTCGTGTGATTAAGTAACACCCACAGCTGGTTTAAAAGTGCAATAATAGTTATATATTTCTCATGAATTGTTCAATACCTTATATAATGCCAAATATAAACCCGCTGTAACCGGAAGTGGTCAGTTGTTTGTCCAGGCCAGCATATGCGCGTTTGTGCAACTTTACCACGTAGCTATATTTTGTATTTCGATATTGATATCCCTTAAATTTTAATTAAATGTACTGTTCCAAAATTCAAAACAGGGCAGATCTGGTACATGAATTCAGCAGGTTTAGGGTCAACATACAAAAATACTTGACCGTGTCTCAAATTGTCAGAATTATATCACTTTATGTGTTAAATTCAATTTGTACTTCTCTATATAATTATGATAAATGAGTTCCAGCCTTTATTATGAGAAGTACTCTTATACTTTGATCCGTACTATGTACACGGTGTTATACTAAAAGTGTTATATTTAATTCCGAGGAAATGCAGCTGATTGCGGAAAGTGATCATTAACTCTTACACGTCATTCATAAAGTATGTTAAAATGTTATATTTTTTACATAATAGGACTGGACATATGTTTTCGAAATTTAAGTACCATTTTATTTGGGCCTACTTCTACTGAGAGGAAACTTCCGATCATTCGATTAATGATCAGTTTATAATGCAAAATGAACCAAAAATGAATAGCGTTTTAAAAACATTTTAAAGTAAATCAGGTTAAAAATCGCACTCAAAAAATCCATTTTAACTTTGAAATTCTTGTAATCTTTTACATTATGATTCGGTTTTTAGTGCCAAAATTAATCTTTAAAATAATTTCAAATTTTAATATTTCAGGCTATTGGACCTGAGTGGAGCTTTTTTAGTGCAGGCAAGTGACCCATTTATAACTGCACAATAGAGGAGCGGAATATCGTTGGCCCAAACTTATATAAACTTGATTTATTAAATATGAAATTACTTACAGTGTCCTAGATGAGTTGCCCGTGTGTGTTACCTTTGGCGACTATAAATAAACGTATTAATAGAAAATCATATAATTTGATGCATTTATGTGTCAATTCAATCAAACCAACAAAAAGATTATCTTTTAAACCATTAAATACACAAACTCTTTAAAAGAAGTTAAACCCAGTCAAGTAACCTGATTTTATTACAGTTTTAGTAAGTACCTAAAAGAATTCCAAATTACTTAATCTTCTTTAAATGCGGTGGTTTGGATTTAAATGTGGTAGTTCGACAGCTTTCGTTGTTTTTGTTCATGTGATTTCCATGCATGTAATCTCGCAACAACCTATTTGCACCTTTGTAAACCTTCCTGAGAAATTAAAATTGAACATTTTCTTTATCCCGAAACTATTGTGTAATGTTTGCCATTTAACGTGACTATATTCGTGCACTTGCGAAGAAATTGGTAATTACTGGAAAATCAGTGTAAAAACAGAAAAAATTAAACAAACAATAGACAAACAAGTTTATCAACTAATAAAGTGAAATGTGTAGAAGCAGACTTATTACACACGTACTTTCTCTTTTAAGAACCGTAATAATACATACTACGTTTATTTACCTACTATTTAAGCACTGAAATGCATTTTTTTTGCAAGAAGCGTACAAGAAGCGTACAGTCTGAAATAGTTTGGTGTATGAAATTATTCACGAAGAGGCATTTGTTGGTTTTCCTGTGTTGCTGAGTCATATGGGGGTTGCGTTCGTCGAACGCCGCCCTTCCTTGTTGATCTTGAATTTTTTTAAGATAAAGTTGAGGAATCATCATATATGACTAACCAATTCAGCTGTGACTAAAACTCGACAAAAATAAAATGCCATTCTATGAATGTTTTAAATATTTATATACATGATTAAAGTACCAGAACAATAAAACTTCTCCTCATATGTTATATTTATCTTCTGTTGTTTTTTTTTCGTTTGGTCAAAAATACTTTTTGCCAAATATCCCTTTTAGTTATACACTACTAGCGTATTAATATTTTATCAATTGTAGGTTTGGTTTGTTAATCAATCTATCCAATATACTCATTTATATGCTATACGTTTACAAGCCAATTTTCGTTTGTTCTAGCAGCCATCCATTCAAATTCTATTTTTCTTTGTCAATGTGTAAGAGCAAATGGTTACTTTTTTTCTTTGTTATACATTGTTACATTATTAAGTTAGATTGATGAAATCATGCTCAGTATTAGGCATACAAGTAAATCTTTCTTTTACACTCTTCAAACAAACATTTTACAAGAATGAAATTATAGTGACTAACTGCATATATATAAAAAACAACATTTTACAAGAAAAAAATATATCAAGTGTTTTCTTTTCCCCTTTTCTTTGCCCTGGAGAGCACCAAATTTTGGCTCAATCCTTATGTAAAATATTTGTTTATTTAATTTATGTTTGTACTGAACACTATAGCATATACAATTAAACATTTCGAAAATAAACTGCAATACATATAAACACTATGTACATTGTACATATAAGTAAAAAGCGAATGTAGCATTTAGTATAATGGTAAATTTTAAGGCTAAAGTTTAGAAATTAAACGCAAAGTCATTTTCGCATCCACTGTATTCCACAGAACTGCCTGCCTGAAGAAATAAAAACAAAGTTTCATAAATCTGATGCATTTTATGCATGTTTTTTTCCGGAATTTTCATTAAAGTATCAATAGTGATAGAAATGATAGAGGTATGTTCAAAATAGAATAAATTGTAATACACATTAAAAATTAAGATGAAAATATAAATTGCACTTATAAATGCAATGAATATATCGTTTCTTGCTATCGGCACCGGTTTTAGTCCGAGTATCGGTATTGAACGATTATTTCAAGTAATACCGGTAATCGCACGACTAGATTTATCGATATATTAAAGCTTTGTAAACGATAATACCACTTCACTGTGCCTTAACTGTCTTGGACATTTTCAGCACGGGTAACTTCGCGTCCCTTGGGGTCTTATTCTTCAAGTTTGACTGATTCGCCTTTTGCTGTGGCTGCGGATGTTTAACAATTGGCGGCAAAAACGATTCGGTTTTGTCGTCTGCCTTTTGTGTGTTATTTGCGGTTATATTATCCATAGTTTTAAAGGTAACAACCGTTTCAGACTCTTTATAAGTTTTAATATCATTGTTATTTTCATCTTTAGTTTCCGAACTCTCTTCCGTATCGTCAACTTGTAAACTCTTCATTCTAGATTCCATTCTGATGATTAAATCCTCATTTGTCATTTCTTTGTTGTCAATGAACGATTTCTGCTTTTTCATCATTGACATAGAAATCTCTTGTCGTTTATTGGTCATTCTTGAATGTGAAGATGGCGGTTTACTTAATGTAGGAGTTTTAGTTGGACTTAATGCAGGAGTTTTTGGCAATTTCAGAGGCGAATTAGGCTTTGAATCATCTAATGTTATGACTCTCCTTCTTAACGTGGCAAGACTTTTTCTTGCGTTGCGTTCTCGTGTTGGCAAAGGAGTAGTCTCTTTCACGGCCTCCTGCTGTTTTGACTGTTCTTCCAGCAACAACCTTGCTCTTCTTGACAACCATGTCTTTTTCTCTGGAAACAACTTGTTAAATTTTTGAGAATTCTGAAAAATTATATTGTCATACGCGTTTTGATTTTCATGTATGAGAGAACGTGCTTTTCTTTCCCGAATTCGCTCAGGTCTCATATGTATCAACATATTTTTCACTTCACCCTTAAAAGCGGTGTAAGTATACTTTTTATCTAACGCTTTACTATAATCTTTGGCCTCGCTGATACTGTGATTTTTAAGCACCATTTTATATGCCAGTCTTTTTTGAAGGTTATCAACCAGCCTGTTCTTTATGCGTTCATACTTGAGTCGTTGAACATTTGAATCTCTCTCAAGAAAGTCTAACTTCTTTTTGGTGAAGCTGGTCTCGAGGGAATTCAGTACGTTTACTCGGCGAAGGCTTCTGTCTGTAAATCTCAGTGACGCCATAAAGCGGGAATTCTTCCCGAACGCAGACGCCGTGTCATAGGTGTACGCTTTGCTTTGAACTTGCGGCATAGTCAGACGGTTCTAGATTCTGAAAAAATAAATATAACTTTATTAAGACTTTCATTAATTGACCAGTTATTAAGATTTAAAACTTTACATCCAGTAGATTTGATTCACCTACATGTTTGTTGATAAAATACAAACAGAAAATTATAGCACTGTACTAATAGTAATGAGGACTTAATTCCGTGCATGCATGTACATGTATATGTAATCAATCGGAATCTATTTTAACAGATAATAATAATAATAATAATAATAATAATAATAATAATAATAATAATAATAATAATAAACACAATCCATATTTTCATAAAATATCCAATCTGCGAAATTGTGTCGTTTTAAATCTGAATATAATAGTAAATCTAAAGCAATTATCATTTGTCCAGAATATGAAATTATTTTACATCTATCATAGTTTCATAAAGCGCATACTTGTAATATCACTATTTATTTTCCAGCAAGGCATTGTTAAAAGTAAAAATACACTTCCATAGAAATTTATCTTTTGACCTTTATCGTACAATCTCAATAATAAATGGAAAAATACACGAATGTAAACTCATTGATTCCATGTAAAAATAAATATATCAGAAATTTAACAAATAGGTGATATTGTTTCACCAATTCTAAACAATGAAGCTATTAATAAAATAAACATTACCTATTGAAGATACATCTGTTGTATATCATGTAATCCCTTTTCATAAAAAATGAATTGCGACTCAAACTATCATTGAATATATAAAGAAAATCCACTGGAAAAATTAATTTCCGATTAATTATGCCAAATACAAATTTAATGATATTCGTTTAGCAATTTAACATATCTATATATTTTTTTCTAACATTAATTGCTAAACTGGCCTTCTAAATATTATTGTAATTCAAATGGAAGATCGAATGTTATCATTTGATATTACGATATCCAACAAAAGTAGTTCAATTTTAATTCCAATTAAATGCATAACTGCAAATCACAACCTATCAATAGTGTTAAAATAAATGTAATAATAGCGGATTATTGTCTGGAGATATAAATGGGGAAGGATTATATGAAGGTTAAACGAATTCTGTTTTATTATTCAATTATATCAGGTTAAACCGTTGAGGCCCGGCTCAAATGTTTCTTGATTACATTAAAATATCATTTGAGTGAAAAATAAATACAGATATAAACCGTATTTTTTCCTTCTTCATAACGTGATACAATAAATAGTGTTAACCGGACAGAACAGAACAGAACAGAAATTCTATGCCAAACCTGCATTTGTACTTGGTCTTGGTATCTTTCTTATTTGAAAATCAGATCAGGTCCGTTGTAGAAAAAACTATATATTTTCTTCGAAGAAGACCTAAAATAAGTGGGTAAATGACAATTTATTAAATAAATAAGGAAATAAATAAATTAATTAATTAAAAAACAATGAATGAATAATTAAATGAATAAGTAAAATAAAAATAGATAAATAAATAAAAGAATAAATAGATAAAACAAAAATTAATTAATTAATTTATTTATTTAAATAATAAATAAAAACAGATACTTCCCGAAAAAATGAGGGAAGTGTAGCTAGACAAGATTTCGTTGTTTCTAAGTAAAGTAGATTTCACGACTTTTTTTCTCCTTTTGTGAAGTGATACGTCCTGAAAACAGTCTGACATGTTTAACATGTTTTTATATAAAATGTCGTGTGCACAGATATAAATATTTGATATTCTGCAAATTGCATGTGGTTAGTTACAGAAAGGAAAAACATAACTCTCCATATCAATATCATAGATTACGTACATTGACCAAGAATCCTCCCTCCAATCGATATGCAATATAGTTTTTACTGCATTGCACTCATAAAGCAGCCGCTAGAACAAGCATATTAATTTTTGAACGAGCTTTTGATGTCTATTTACGACAAATTGACGAGATAACATGACGTAAATAATTTTGCACTATTATGCAAGACAGAAATTGTTTCACAATTACGTTATTTTACTAGTTGTTTACAACATTTGCTCGGAAATTATCTGACGGCTTTAGGCTACGCCTCAATCGTGCAAGGATTGATTGGTCGAAAAAAAAATAATGAGCTAGCAAAGTAATCAAAGGAATTAGAACAGAAAAAAGTAGGATAGATGGATTAAAAAAACACAATGCCTCGACGATCAAGATGATCTAGTGACTAGCAAGGTGCACTTATTTTTTCCTTACCGCGATCACGATATGAAATTTCAATTTTGACTGTATATTCGTTCAAATGTTCTTCTCCTGAAAACGGGACATCAATCAAAGCGACCCTGCAACATTTTCAGTTTTGTCGTTTTTGGTGGACTTTAGAGAATCCATTTTTTGTATATTTTAGTCCCACATTAGTGTTGTCTGCACAGGCCGTAAAAAGTAGCCCCGTACATTCAATCAAAGATATTATATTTTCGATCATTGAATATCGTTCCTCACGACATTATTGTCGTGTTTGTGGTATCTTTAGTTCCTTCAATTTAATCTTTCCCTCAAGATCCCTCGGACGAAATAAAAAACATGTAAAAACAAAAAACAACAACAACAACACAAAAAAGGTATTATATTGCATACTCGGTTTGTTTGAGTCTGTTCATGAGAGATGCGTAAACTTGAAACATGTCTCAAGTCCCCTTGTCGCCGGATTTAGCAGTATTCTGTTATTAACAGTAACATGCTGGAACCATTAATGCAAGCGGTGGTAAGGATTTGTCTAAGCCACTAGAACGGAGCATTGTCAGCCCACACATTTGCGCACACTTGTGCAGTCTACAGCCCACACATCTGCACACATCTGTGCAGTCTGCAGCCCACACATCTGCCCTCATCTGTGCGGTCTACAGCCCACACATGTGCACACATCTGTGCAGTCTGCATCCCACACATCTGCCCGCATCTGTGCAGTCTCCAGCCCATACATCTGTGCAGTTTGCAGTCTACACATCTGCGCACATCTGCGCAGTCTGCAGCCCATATAGCTATGCAGTCTAGATCCCACGCATCTGTGAAGTCTGAATTGTCGGATCCTCAGTTTTATAATTGGATTTTGATACTGAATAACATTGGACGGTTTTCTTCTAAGCAGAAAAAAACTCTTACATATAATTCGAGAGATTATTTCAAATATAAAAAAAAACGGCAAAATAAATAACGTAAATGTTCGTGAAAGGACGAACCTCACATAGATCATGTTACGGCTATTGACTACTAAAATTGATAATTTGATTGGACGTTAACCTCATACTTTTACACCTCAAATAAATCTATATATAAACATTGACCATATCATATTTGTTTGCATTACAAATTATACCAATGGCGTTCAACTTGACAAAATGTCGTCACTTTATTTTATATACAATAAGTTAAACGTTGTTGATCTATTAAATGTAAGCATTTTAGAAAAAAAAACCATGAAAGAGGAAATTAGTATCGTGTCAATATTTATCTAAAGAATACTTTATCTGAAATAAACACCCAGATAATACCACCGATCGTTTTGAAGTGTTTTTTTTTCTCCATGATTGACATTTTTTCTATGGCAGAAGGATAGTCTACCAATTAGTGTTAATGACAAAATGAAATTTTATCCGGGTTTAATTAAAAGTACACTTTATAAAATGGGTTCAAAACCACATCGATCATTCCACATGTGAAGTCAATAGGATGTTTAACTAAATGATTACTATTTTAAATCATTTCAATTGAAATATTGTGTTTTTTTTAACAAATAGTACAGAAGTTATTCAGGTGCAGAAAAAAAGTCTAAAAATTGTTTTTTTTTCGGCGAATGCGGTCATTGCGTTCAAGTTAAAAAGTATATCCTTAAATATGAATATGTAAAAAAACATGATAATGATTATCTGATTTACCGTAGATATCGTTGTTCGTAACTTCTGTTTAAGAAACCTAAAAAAACAGCAATATATACTTGTTAATCTTAATAGTCTTTTCATATCTTAATGCGCCACCGGAAATCCACACGTACGTCTCCAAGGAGTGTTACTTATATTCAGAAATTATTTGTTTCAGAGGTATTCGCCTTTTCCTTTTTGATGGTATCATTAACAGTGATCTATGGAAAAAAAATTATTCCAGTATTTTGACATAATTTTATAACAGAAAATGACGTAAGCAAGTGTGATTCTGATACTAAATTCTTGGTTACGAAATACGGTGAATGTAAAAGCAGCTAACTTGATTTAGTATATAATAGTAAAATTTCTACCTAAACAGTTTTCACCATCTTATAAGATAACTATTCGAAGTGTTCCCACATCCAACAAAAACAACAACAACAATGACAACAACAACAAAAACAACAACATATACTTCATAACAGAAGTCAGTAATAAGTCAATAATCATAACGTCATTTCCATTTTTTACATTCAGCTTTATTGACATGTTTTTTTGTATGTGTGTTCTTTATTATGAAGTGCTTTTAAATTCTAATGTAGTTTTTATACAGAGGTTCTCATATAATATGAATGGAATGAAAGGAGAATAGCTTTTGTATTGATCTTTAATTAGCTACACGTTATGTACTATGTATAGTCTTTAAAAATGGGGGGGGGGGGATGGGAGAGAAAAAGAAACAGAACACATTAACCGTTTTTTCAACTTCACTAGAACAAAAACAAATAAAACAGTACGACAATAACAAGTTGTTAGGATTTATTTGTTCTCAGATAAGCTTCGTTTTCATTCAGAAAAGATTTTAGCACCGATCTCATCAAAGAAACATTTCAGATGTTGTGGAAATAGTACTGATTATTTCACTATCATTTATATGTAAAAGTCAAATCTCTTTTAGACTTGAAAAGTCCTTTAAACAGGAGTGGCACTTTATCAAAGGGTGATCAATGTCAGGAGATCAATGATGTACACAAAGATAGACGAATACGTGCTTATCCCCATGTCAGCCTTGCCATGTTTCTCTGGCAAAAACGAAGAAAGTATTGTCACACCATTATTACAAGCTTTTGAGGCTTAGATTTCAAGAATTTTAAAGATATATTATACTCAAATTGGATATTTGAAAATATTGAAAATTGCTACACTGTCTCTTTGCAAAATATAAAATCAACATATGTTTTGACTTCACACAAAGTAGACATCTTATGTTTTAAACTCTTATCACAATATGAAGAGAAAATGTCAGTTTTTTAAAGAAAAGATCAAATTTACCTGCGACCTGTTTTAGGGAATGTAGCTTCCCACACATAATTTGTACATTCTTTTATTCAACAGTAAGAATTTCATAGATTTCAATAAATATTTGCGATACAGATGAGCATAGTATATATCTTTATTATAAGTCTTGATTTTCCATGAATTTATGTTATTTTTAAAGATAGCCTTTGATTATTGTTTTATTTTTATATCGTTTTTTGTTCGCTTGCTCCTAATAATTTTATTTCTTATTATTCTAAAATGTCTCTAGAAAAAAATATTCGTAGAACAAGAAATCAACTTGATATAAATGTGGCCTGATGAAAAGAATCCATATCATTTTAACAACAGCCATAATGATAATATGTGACGTCATCAAAAGCGTAACTGAATTCCGTTAGGAATATACGCAAGTGTTGAAAGTGATGCAATAACTTCGAATACGTATTAAGAACCAAAGATCTGTTGACATCAATGCCTGTATAATATTACGTATACGACATCAAACGCTTGCCGCAGCTTTTATTGTAAAATGTATGATATACAAGAGATGTAGCTGCCTCTATGGATTTACATTATTTAAGTTCTAAGCCATTAAAGTAAGACAATAATTGCAATCTATTTGTGACATCGGTTGTTTTTATTAATAATTGAAAGTCAGCGTTCGTTATCGTCATATTTACGTTTCTGTTCGTTTTTAAATGATCTTTTATTTTATACAACACATAAGTGTGCAGATACATCCGCCACGCTCCAACAAAATACCAAACAAAATTTTGCGCAACAGTTTACAATTATTACAAATCAACACACTTTTGAACATCATTTGAAATGAACATAA